AAAAAAAAAAAAAAAAAAAAAAAAAAACGACTGGGGATTGTTTACCCTTTCAAGTATGAGCAATCTTGGTTGATGATTTTGGTGTGAAAGCCACCTGTCATCAATAATTTTTATTTTTGTAGACAAGTAGTAGTCATGTGTTACAAAATCAAAAGAACAATTATTAAACCTGACTGCTCAGCTTTTTTTCTTTTTTAGAAAATAATAAAAATTATATAATTATTAAAGCTACTACTTTCAGTTGGACACCAAAAATTTTGCGCACAACACAAGAATCCAATTGGAATAGGGTTGGATCTATCTTTACTCAATTTCCCCTCCTCTTCTTTCACCTCTCTGCAACACTTTCCTTACTTCCATTTCCCATCACACGCCATGCATTTCCCCGCCAACCAAGGCATCCAAGGCATCCAAGGCAACACCTTCGCCGTCACCGGCGCATTGGGCTTCGTCGGCTCTGCCCTCTGCTTAGAGCTTGTCCGTAGAGGCGCTCTCCAGGTCCGAGCCTTTGACCTCCGTCCTGCCTCTCCTTGGTCCGATGACCTCAAGATTCACGGGGTCAACATCATCCAAGGTTCATCCCTATCTGCAATTCAGACCCCCTTTTACTGTTTATTTTGCGATTCACCTCGGCGGTGCTATTATATTCTCTCTGCCTTGATCGTCCTCTCGCTATTTGTCTCTGCTCTACTCTTTCTGGCTTTGATTCTCTCTCTCTGTAGTGGACTAAAATTGTAGGCTTCTTTCGACGCTAACTCTTGCAGTCATGTAGGGGATATTACCTGTAAAAAGGACGTGGAAAGAGCTCTTCGTGGTGTTGATTGTGTTTTCCACCTAGCAGCATATGGATTATCAGGGAAAGAAATGCTTCAAGTCGGTCGCATTGATGAGGTGAATATTAATGGAACATGCCATGTCTTGGATGCTTGCCTGGAGCACGGGGTTAGACGGCTTATATATATGAGCACGTATAATGTAGTGTTTGGAGGTCAAGAGATTGTTAACGGAAATGAGGGATTACCTTATTTCCCAATTGATGATCACGTTGATGCATATAGCCGAAGTAAATCCATTGCAGAACAATTAGTTCTGAAGACCAACGGGCGCCCCTTAAAGTAAGTGAAATCACTACTTTCTACTTCCGTGGTTTTCGCTTTTCTGGTTTGTTTACTTGTATTGGATTGCGCTTACTGCAACCATTAGTCTTTACTTTCTTGCGCAAAAGTGTATAATAACATTAGCTTCGCCTTTGGATTCTTAGGAACAGGGATGGCAAATGTTTTCACACCTGTGCTATACGTTCCTGTGCTATCTACGGACCTGGGGAAGAGAGGCATTTTCCTAGGATTGTCTCCTTAGCAAAGTTAGGCTTGCTACCATTCAGAGTTGGGAAGCCAAGTGTTAAAACAGACTGGATCTATGTGGATAATCTCGTGCTTGCTTTAATATTGGCAAGCATGGGGCTTCTGGATGGTACTCCTGGTAAAGGAAGAGGCCCAATAGCTGCTGGCCAGCCGTATTATGTATCAGATGGTAACTCCACAGAATTTCTTACGTTTTACAACCCTCCCATCTACTCGTTGTAGATTCCTTTAATGTCGTGCTGTGCTGTTTCTATTCTTATCAGGTTATCCAGTTAATTCCTTTGAATTCGTTCAACCACTGCTCAATAGCTTAGGTTATGAGTGGCCAAAGTTTTACATGCCTGTATCTAAAGCTCTTCTCTTGGGGAAGTTTTTTGCTGCGTTGTACACAATATTATATCCTTGGTTGAATAGATGGTGGCTTCCACATCCCTTGATGCTTCCTGCTGAGATTTACAAGGTTTGTTTATTTTGTTTCATTCTTTTATGCTTGTGTCTGCTAACATGCAAATGGCCCTACTGAATGTTTGGACATCTGCTTGCAACCAAGAATTCTCTCCTTGACCATCCCAATAATGCTCCTTCGTGGTGTGAAGAATGATTCCATGCTGAGTTAATATAACAGTTCTTAATCAATTCCTCTGAATCCTAATTACTTGTTTGCCTATATCGCCACAGGTTGGCATCAGCAATTATTTTTCGTATCTTAAAGCCAAGGAGGAGTTGGGCTATATTCCAATGGTGAGTTCGAAGGAGGGCATGGCTGCGACCATCTCATATTGGCAGGAGAGGAAGAGGAAGAGCCTCGATGGGCCAACAATATACGCGTGGCTGTTTTCTGTTGTTGGAATGAGCATGCTGTTTAGTGCAGCTTTCCTTCCAGACGTTGGACCTGTTCCATTCTTCAAAGCTATCAGCCTTTTCTTCTTTAGGTCGATTCAAGTGGTGAGGATGGTGTTTCTTGTAGCCCTTCTACTGCACGTTGGTGAGAGCATATATGCATGGTTCTTAGCAAGAAAGGTCGATCCTGCTAACTCCAGGGGATGGTTTTGGCAAACTTTTGCACTAGGCTACTTTTCCTTGCGTTTCTTGTTGAGAAGAGCAAGGAGTCAGTAGGGGAACTCGCGTTACTTCTACCTATTGTAAGATAAAGTTAAGAAAATGTAAAGGAGAATTTGAGAGAAGAAATAGAGCCTGTTGTTGTGATAATCTTGAGTTTATAGCATCGAAGCTACAACGGCTGTAATTTCAATAAATTCATTATTTGTAATTCT